AAGGTTTATTAAGCTACTCTTGTTCGACGGTCGAGTATCTGGCCCCTACCGGAGGTCTCTTAATGAGCTCGTTCTTTCGGGTATGGTGTAGTAGAGGTCTCGTAACGAGCTCGTTCTTTCGACGACCAGTCTCTGACCACCCCACTCAGAGCCGTTCAACGCTCAATTCTCATCATTCGAATTAAATATATCGTTTAAAAAAAATAATCACTTACTTTAAAATTGCGAATTTTTTTATCAGAGCTATAAAGACTCCGATATGAGCGAAAAATCTGTAATATATTAATTGTTGGTTTTTTCGCATTTCGAGCGGGTTTAATATATAACCATATAATCGTTATTAAAGAACAATATTATGAGCCTAACAATAGGAGGGATCATAGATTTCTCGCTGGTAAGTGCCTCATAGGATCCTACAGCAGTGGATATCAGTTTCTCTGGACCCGCTGAATTCGATCATTTGATAATATGGAGACGTGTTCATCATCAGCATTATTTGATCAAGTTGATTTACGCCGTATTATTTTTGATTGGGGTACAAACTATTTTAGATTTACTCATCTTTAATATACTATCTCCACGTAACGATACTGTCTCAATAATATCGATGTTATCGGTAAAAGCATCATCAATAACAGTTGCAAACGGTGTTGAGTTGTTATTACGATCATCGTTATCACTAGTCGTAGTAGTAGCCAATATTGTATTTTTTGAAGAGTGCGCGTTATCTCCATCATTACCGTAAAATTATAAAATTGTAAACTTATATCAAGTCCATCTTCGTCATTGCAAAATTGTAAACTTTGATGAAGTCCATCATCATCATTATCACTAGTATCGGCTGACGATACTCACATATCTTGTATTGAAGTTATCATAAATTTGGATGTTTCTCGCATGTATGTCATCCTGATGGTCCTGACGAGGCGTTGGCATTGACATTGTATTAGTGTAAATTCAGCAATTTCGTCGCTTAAACTTTCAATACAGCCCCCACTAGAGATGCCTAGAAATACCCAACATTAAATGTGGGAGATCATGATGAAAAACGGATTATGGCGAAAATTTTGGCCAAAATTGTGCAGATCATGAGATCATTTGGCCAGAATTATCGATAATTTCTTATAATAAAAGAGCAATATTTTGAAAATAATGATAAATACATAAAATATATAACTTTAATTAATTTTGCAATAATATTTATATTGCTATATACTATGTAAATTTATGAGTATAATTGTTATTCATAGTTTGTTATAATAGATATTGCAAATTTTCGTTATAATTCATTTTTTATCATGATTTCCCATATTTAATGTTGGATATTTCTAGACATTTCTAGCCTGAGATGTGTTAGTAAATGTTTGAGTGTTATTTGTCTGCTCACATATGATAGCAAATCAAGTACAGGAAAGAGATTTTATCACTTAAATTAATCACATTTATCAGAAAATAATATTCTCTTGTATTATAAAATATTTTTTTGAATTTAGTATTAAATGGCTCTTAGTAGAAATTAGAAACTGGTTGTTAAAAAAACTATCTCATTAAGAAAACCAGATACTCAATCATCAAACAGAGTAGCTTAATAAATCTTCCAAAAGATATTTTTTAAAAGGTGTCAAATTCAAAAACTTTCTTTTTTTTTACTTAGCAGCTCTGAAAATTTATTTATTTATAAATATTATTAATATTATTCTAAATTGTATATTAATTACAAACAATTAATCTTGTATTATATTATGTACTAAAAGAAATGTAAAAATTGTATTAAAAGTTTAAGTGATGAAATTATTGAATTTATACTAATATAAATAATATCAATATCAATACTTCGTTAGAACTATAGGATACTATACATATGAAAAACATTCAAATTTATAATAATTTCTGTGCCAATATCTTATCAGGATCATCAGAATGACATATATATAAGAAATATCCAAATTTATAATAACTTCAATACAAAATATGTAAGTATCATCAGCTAGTACTAGTAATAATGATGAAGATAAACTTTATTTAAGTTATAATTTTGCAATGACAAAGATGAACTTGATATAAGTTTACAATTTTATAATGATGAAAATAATACTATTATGATCAGGTTCTTAATAAATATTTTCATAATGTAGATATTCAACCAATGTCTAATGACAGTATTTTTATAGTTACTTAATTTTGTTATAATTAATGTACTTCAGAATCATTATATATTTCTTATATCAGTTAGATAGACTCTCATAAATATTATATCTATTTAGTATGGGACGGTCCTATAGCAATATAATATTGATATTCTATAGCAACTTAATGATTATCTAATAGTGTGTAATAAATACAAGTATTTAATATTGTTATCATTTTGATTGATTTTTAAAATATTTATAAATATTAAAGAAATATTTAAAGAAGGCTTCCAATATTTTAATGATAATTCAAAGTATTAATAATACTTTATAACTATTAGACTGAATATGAATAAATATTAAAAGTACTAACAATAAAATTACTAAAGATTGATAACAATTATATTTTTTAAATGTAATAATTTGAACTATTAAAAAGAATTTTCAAAATCTCAGAATTAAAGTTATAGAGATTATAATATTTGTATTGTTAACAATATAAGATTAAAGATAAATAATGTATTATTAGTAATACAATATTAAAAATAAGTTTATGAGCAATATATTATTAGTAATACAATTTCAAAGACAGATTTATAAATTATAATAATAATTTTTTTATTTATATAATGTTTATTAGATTTTGTTACAAATATATTCAGATAACTTAGTATTATTATGATATGAATATTTAGTTCTTATTTTATTAGTTAATTCATATCATAAATTTAATTGGATAATATTCTAT